TCATCCTCCGCCCTCTTAATCCTGCAACACTTCCATAAACACATATCAGGTTAGTCTTTTCAAAATAATTTGTAGTATTTATTTAGCATTATGTTAATATCGTTTTATTATTGTTAGAATAAAGAACCAGAAATCAAGATTACCAAAGTTTCTATGCTCTTCGTGATCTGATTTTTCAGTATTTGTCATGTTTTCAGAATATGACCGATCTTCTTCTTCTTCTTCATGTTTTCCTTATTCTTCTTCCTCATCTTCTTCTTCTACCTGTTCAGTTAAAAACACCATTTACCAAAATACGATTTAGCAATGTCTGATTTATTATTACAATTATACACCAATCAAGAAGCAAAAATTGTTAAAATGTTTAATAGTAATAAAAAATGTATACAAGTTAGATGAGGCAAAAAAAGATAGTTATTTACTGTAGCTATCAAAAAGTCGGATGTATAAAAACATTGGTGTTTTCATTCTTATTTACTGTAGCTATCAAGCATCAGACATTGCTATCAAAAATCGAAAAGTTTTTTTAATAACAATGTTTGTTTTCATTGTTATTTAATGTAGCTAGCAATGTTATCATAGAATGTTTTTTTGTCTATCCCATAATAAAAAAAAATCTACAAGTTAGATGAGCCAAAAAAAGAAAGTTATTTACTGTAGCTATCAAAGTTGTTATTAAAGTCCTTTATCTCAAAGTGTGTGGACATTTTCTTTAATCTATTTTAAACACCATTTATCAAAACACCTCTAAGTTAAATTAAAAAAACAACAATCTACTTTTAACTTATTTTTTATATTAGCATTCTATTTAAATTTTCCGTGTTACAACATTATACTTTGTAACAAAAAGGTTTCTTCTTCTTCAGAGCATCAGTTTTATGTATTTACTATGTTTTAACATAAGGGATTTATTAAATCAAGTTGCTAATTGGTTCGTATGTGTCCATTGAAATTTTTTAGTCTAGAAAGTATTTTGACAGTATTTGTTTGCTACATATTATTAATGATGCGATATTAACATTTCTAGAAACAATCCTTGTATGACTGTGAGATTATAGAAATCAACCCTTTGATACAAGAAATATCAATGTATGTTTGTTAATGGTTTGTTTCGTTCCTACTGTCATGTTCTCTAACTTTTGAGGCTAGACACCTCTTAATAAACTTATCAAAAGGAGGGGAAATTCGTAAATTTGTATGTTCTTTAAGAATGAATCATATGCAATATCCTATTATGAAACCTTTATTGAATAATTTCATTGATGATACAATAAATTCATTGTCATATAATTAATGCTTCGATTTTAATTTTTATAAGGTTATTTTGGTTTCTTAATTTTTTACTTCAATGTATCTTTATTTTAAGGACCAGTTTCTGTAACTTTCTGTTATATTATAAACATGTATTTTAACAGGAAATACCATTTTGATCTTTTTGTAAACTTTTATAATCAACAAAATATTAAATGAGACCATTAATTGTATACAATTATTTTTGTATATAAAATTCTAATTGGTCTAACTATTAAATTACTAATTGGACTCTTTGTTGTCGGTTATAGCAATGTACTTTAAAATTGAATAATTTTTTGATGGCGTGGCTGTGTTTGTTTGGAAATGACATTTAATACATAAATCGATAAAAAAATTAAGTTTTAACAACCAAAGTGATAATATGAGTTTTAGTATAATTTCAAATACTATGTCAAAAGACTCTAGGATGAACCTGACAAAAATAATATCCATTGAAATCAAGTTTTATAGCAATTTTATACTTAGCTTAAGTAATCTTATATTATAGCTATATATTGCATCTTTATCAAAATCAATTAAATTTGTCAGAACTCTTATTATGGTTTTGTGAAATTTTTGTCACTTCCACAAATTTGATTGTATATCAGTTTTATAAGCGAATTTGACTTTTTTGCCACTACTAATTCATGATATGACATATTTATGCCATATTACATTTCAAATTTCAGAATTTTATTTTTCTGTTCAGATTTCAAATTTATGCCATATAATACATTTCTTATTTTCAACAGTTTTAAAACACTGCTATAAATAAATGCAAATTCTGATAAATGCATTCAAAGTTATAAAAGGACATGCAATAGAGATTTACTTATTTCACGGGATAATATCATTCTTATGATTTCATTTAAAAATTAAATTCAGAATACCATTTAAAGGATCCATCATTCTCACCCGATTTTATTCCCCTTTGCCATCCATTGTTTCACGTTTCTAAAGTTCATATAATCAACCTCCTGCAACACATAGCAAATCATCTAAGCATTTCGAATTTATCATTATTCTTTATTTCTTTCCCCGTTATTTGCTTTTGTTATGTATTAACTGCAACTTACAGCTAACAACAATGGTCTCTATTTCATTTTTATGATATTATGTATTTCTTTTTTACTGCATATAACAAAGAATATCTACGTACTCTACTTTTTCTTCTTATTTTTTTTTCTCAATTTCGTTTTTCTGATATTTATGTGTTGAGGATAACTTAATTTGGACAAGGAACCAGTTGACCTGGGAATGATTCCATTAAAAACATTTAGGCTAAGATCAAGGTAACTTAACAAAGTCATGGAACCAATGAACGTGGGAATGGTAAACAACCTCTATGAACATTCTCTTTGAACCAATTACTATCAACAAAAACCCTTATTTGACAACAAAAATGAAAAAATTAGCAATGTAAGTCATAATATCAACAAGTAACATACCTGTATACTTTATGTGTTTACGAATATACGCATGATCGAGTAATCTTCGACATACAATGAAACGGATGCCAAGAGGAAAAACTAGGGTTTTCAATTAGACAGATATTTCCAATTCTCGAATTAGGATAAACGAAATGGATAGTATGAATTTGATAGAGAAAATAGATTAGGTAAGGAATCGGGTTGGCTTGCAAACAACAATGAAAACAATTAAATCAAACGACGGCTCTGATTATTGGATTTCGCATCTCCGGCTTCAAGGTCTCTCTGTCCGTCGCCTTCAATCTGCTCATCTTCGGTAACATTTAAGTAGGTGCACATAAATAAACAAGAAACCAAAAGCAATGAGACCCATTTAGGCAGCCAAACCTCCGAAGAAGTACAGGATTGGTGACGTTGGATTAGATTAGAACGTGAAAAGTTAGATTTGGTAACGGTGGATGAGTATTAGGAAGTGGTTTCATTTCAAACAGTTTAATTACGATCCAATCTGATTTTTTCTTTTCATTTTTTATTATTAATGTATAATTTAATATTTCATACTTTTTTTAATCATTATATTGGAATTATGTTACCTTCCTAAAATATAATCTTATGTTTAAAGGAATATAAAAGGCATTTTAATTTTTTATATATCTTTTACATAATTGTTAATTACAACATTTATATTACATAATAACATAACATGCTAATATATTTATTTTTAAATATCACTACGTTAAATTATTTTCATTTTAAACTTTTAAACATAAGTTATGCATACCTAAACATATCCAAATTTAATATTTAATATGTATACTTTTTAATTATAATATATTATTTGTATAAAAAAATATGAAAATATGTGAAACTAATAGGCCATTTATAAAGTTTTATAAAAATATTGCAATTACATATTAAATATTACCAAATTGTAGGTTTATATGTTAGTATTTGTAATTTGTAATTTACTCATAATTTGTCAATATGTAACAAAAAATGGCATTCTACCCATTTGTTCAATATATAAATATTATATATGAATTACTTATTGTTATCTGTAGGCACACAATACATTCAATTTCTTCTAACAAAACTAGAAAATTAAATAATTTTTACTTAGATAATACAAAAAATATTAATTTGGATACTACATCAACACATCTATATTTTTTACGTTTATTTCTTCAATTTTATTATAAAAACATATTTTTTACCTAATTATACATTTATATCCTATCTTATTATCGTTTATCGAATTTGTCCATGATCTGTTTGATGCAAATTTATATTCACCTGATTTGTTAAATGGTCTCAAAGTATCCAGTCTACCAAATCATAAGTTAGTTTTAGATATTGGTGTTTCACTAATGTTACTGGGAAATATTAATCTGAAAAACAGTTTTTAATTACGTATTGTATTTTTTTTTATGTTAGTTTCATTACACACATGGATAAGGCATCATCTGCATACATTCAACGAGAATCATAGACCAAAAATCAGGGTTTCAAAAATATTCAATATTACAATTCATAAGTTTTCTAAATTAATGAAATATTATTTTATTACATAATTAAATTTTAAATTTTATTTAAAATTAACACCCGTGGGTTCCACGAGTTTTAACCTAGTTTTACAATATGTTTGAGTTTGAAACTACTACTAATTTTTAAAAAAATTACGACTGAAACTGCCAAAATTATATCATCATGACATTTATATACAAATTTTTTGGTAAAGTGTTGATAGTGATATACTTAAAAGATCCACCCAAGTCGACATCAACAAACAACTTAAATATCATATAGTGGAAAATTTTAGGTTTCACCATTTTTTTGCTTCTTATTTACACGCGGAAATCACTATAAAATAATAAAATTAAGTTCACTCGTACTTTTCTATTGCACCCCTTTTCAGCTTTTAACTTTTTTATATTTGTATGTATTCAATTATATTTGTATGTATTCAATTATATGATTACTAAATTCAACCAAATGATCAAACTCTTTATATATATATATATATATATATATATATATATATATATATATATATATATATATATATATATATATATATATATATATATAATTTTTTCCAATATGTTTACGTACGCCATCATGTATAAATGCAGTACAGTCGAGTTCCACCTAAACACGATAACTGAAGTCACTGGTGCCTTCTAGATTTCTCGTGCAATGCTGGCCCACCAAATATAATTTATAAAAAAGTATTGGAAAATTAAATTAAAATAGAAAAATACTCAAACAGCAGTAGATTTTGCATAAAAAGTAAAAACACCACCATATAATATTATTATTTATAAATAATATCAGCATCAACTACCAAATGTCACAGACCCTCACCAACGTTCTGCAAACAATGAGCTGCTTCTTTTTCTACTATATTTACATAACTTAATGCAGAAAATGCTTCGATTTAAAAAAAAAAAAAAGTTTAAATGCAATGACATTAACACTAACACTAACATTTTTATTAAGACCCACAAGATGTTTGGCTACCCTCTCTGGTCCTCCTGCACAGCCATCCGTTCAGACACTTCTGAAAGAGAGTTAAGATTGCAGTTAATCAACGCCTTCACAAAGTAACACGTGTCATCCTTTGTGTTTCCATCAGGAATATCCACCACAAATGACTCGATCACTAATGTTCCTGATCTTCCTTCTATTATCTCTGGATGAACAGTCAGAATTGAGGAATAATTCTGCAAAAGTTTCAGAAAAAAAGTGAATATTTGGATAACATAAAAAATGGAGATTTAGAGATTGAGGATTTGAATTTAATCATATACCTTTAGTCTGTGGTCACCACCAACGATTTTGATGCCAAGGATGTGTTCGTTATCATCAAGAAGTTCTAACCTTTCAGTACTGGTGGTGGCAGGAAGCCCTGATTTGACATTCACCTGTCGAACACTGCCTATGTTAAGATCCCCATGCATAGTACACCTGCTCACAAATGGTTTGTACTTTTGAGGTTGATCGAATCTCCTAACTAATGACCAAACCTGAAAAAGAAAATTGAATCAAACTGTTAAAGAACAGAGGTTGATACTTGATTAATTGAAATCGAAGCAAATGAAATGTTTCAGATCTTTGTGTTAAGCGATATGAAGCTGTGTAAATCATGAAAACAGGTAGTAGAAATGTTGATTTCTTTTTTGAACACTGATTTTGAGATCAGAAGTATACATATCAGTATATCGCTGTTGATGCAGTAGGAAACTTGTAGGATTAACCACAGAAGCTGTTAAAATCATATGGTGATTTATTAGTAATAAAATTCATGTCAATTTCTCATTCTTAGGGTACTTAAAAGTGGAAAGTCTAGTATAAGCTCTGATCCACTATGGAGCTGATTGAATTCAACAAAAAATGAACACCAAACATAAACATGTCAGATTGAATCGAAACAGAAAGTAATAAGAATAGGGAGGAGAAAGGGCGAGAGATTACGATATCAACAGGAGCTCTGATGTGTTTAACGACAACAGAAATGCACTGTTCATCGTTAGGGTTATGCCTGTGGTGTCTTCGTATGTAGTAAGCTGCTTCCATTGTTGATTAATCTATCTTTCTGTTGATTTCAGTTCTTGAATTGAAAGCAGAATTCGAATAATTAGAAAAGACTTTTATATGATATGATCGAGAATCAGGACAACTTGTAGTGTTTTTTTCCACTTTGCTTTTAAAGAACAAAGATAGGAAATTTGTGAACGGAGATAAGCTATAAGCTATTGCCTATGACCCACACTCGAACAAATAGCCAACAAAGAAACCCGACCCGAACTGATTTCATCGGGTCATCAAATGGATGGTATTAACTTTAGGCAAAAAGACTTTCGATATTTGTCAAGAATGTACGGTTTTATCCCTAAGTCTGTTTTTATAGGGATTATGATTCAAATAGACATATTTTGGGATGTTTTCCAAAATATATATATTTATAATAATGTTCTTTAGATATGGATTTCGCAGACCTACCTCCAAGAGCTCTGCAGAATGAACTTATGCTATGATGAATCGTTATGGCATAAAGGAAAAAAGCTAAAGCATAGTTTCGTGGAGCTTCTTTTGAGTAATGAACGGTGAAAAAAAGTTCCGTTGAGTTCCTTCCAAGGATTCGATCCGTCAATTTTACTCATATTCCTCTCCTTAATTAACCATATGACCATTCTACGGAGGGTATCTTAATTCTAAAGAGACCATGGAGGCACCTAGGGGTGAGCATTTGGATCGGACTGGACCAAACCAGACCGGACTGGTTTTAGAGAATATTGTTGATCGTAGACCTGACCGGTTATGACTTACCGGGTCCAGGTCCATGTCCGGGTTTTCTAGTTCTTGGACCTGTTTGGACCGGTACAACTTTATATGCATACGGTACAACTTTTTAAACTGTATTTTTGGGTTTGATACAACTTGTTAAAACAAATATATTGTTGGTTTGATACGTTACAACTCGTTAAAATGAATATTTTTTTGGGTTTGATACGGTACAACTTGTAAAAATGAATATATTTTTGTTTATTGTGTCATTTGAACCGGTCAAACTTTGATTATTTATAGTTTATACCATTTATTTGAAGAATTGTAACTCATTAAATATAACACCAAAAACAACAAAACTATAGTCTTAAATCATATACAAATTTTAAATTACATGTTGAAAAAAAAACACATGTCAATCCGAGTTAAAACGAATGAGATATATTTGTATAAAGAATTTCACAGAATACAAAAATTTTAATATCTTGTTGAAAACTTGAAATATTTCAGTTTTGATATTTCATCTTTGAAGGATTATACCTCATTGAATATAATAATAAAAACAACAATATTATAGCCTAAAATCATCTACAAACTCTAAATTATATATTGGAAAAAATCTCATGTCAATCCGACTTAAAACAAATAAAATATATTTGTTTAAAATATTTCACAGAATACAAAATATTAAAATTCAAGCTGAAAAGCTAAAATATTTAAGTTTTGATATCTAATCTTTGAAGTATTATAACTCATCGAATATAACACCAAAAACAACAAAATTATATTGAAAAATCATCTAGAAACACTAAATTACACTTTAGAAAAAGCTGCATGTTAATCCGACTTATAACAAATGAGATATGATCGTTTAAATAATTTCACAGAATACAAATATTTAAATTTCTTAATGAAAAGCTGATATATTTCCGCTTTGATATCTCATTTTTGAAGGATTGTAAGTCATCAAATATAACACCAAAAACAACAGAATCATAGTCTAAAATCATTTACAAACTCGAAGTTATACTTTAGAAAAAACCAAATGTTAATCCGATTTAAAACGAATGATGTATTCTTCTTTAGAGAATTGCACAGAATACAAAAGTTTAAATTTCTTTCTGAAAAACTGAAATATTTTAGCTTTGATATGTCATCTTTAAAGGATTGAAACTTATCAAATATAACACAAAAAACAACAAAATTATAGTCCAAAATCATCTACACGCTCTAAATTACACGTTGGAAAAAACATCATGTTAATCCGACTTAAAATGAATGAGATATGTTTGTTTAAAGAGTTTTACAAAATATAATATTTTTAAAAAATAAGCTTGTCCAAAACAAGTTTTTATCCAAAACCAGCTGGTCTGGACTGGTAAAAAAACCGGTCAAGTTTTGCTAAAATCCAAAAACCAAGAGTCGGTTTGGAAGTAACAAACGGTCCAGTCTGTTCATGTCCTGTCATTAGGCACCTCCATATAATACAAGTTTATTTGTGGAAACACTTTTTTATGTCTTCATTTTGAAAAGTATGCACAAAAGATTTCTAGTTGGTTCATAATCCATTTTTATATCTATTAATGTTCTTATAAAAAATGTATGGTTTATTCATTTACTTATGAGAATAAGTTTTTCATATTATCTTGATATTAACCTCCTAAGAAAACCCATATATATATATATATATATATATATATAGCACCGTAAATTTCCAAAACAGTTTTTCGCATTTATAAAAACATAATTCATTTGTAATTCATAAAAACATCATTGTTTGAAACTCAATTTATAACATATAAAAATCCCAAGATCTCATATCATAAAAATCTCGTGTGTGTACTGATCAAGCCGACGCCTTCCCGCGATCTTCACTAGTACCTAAAACACATAACACAAAACACTGTAAGCACAAAGCTTAGTGGATTCCCTAAAATACCACACATAACACATATTAGCCACTCGAAGCTATAACTTTGTGGGTCCGTGGACCCTACTCTGTGAACCCTCTGGTTCTAACTCTGTGAACCTTCCGGTTCTAACTCTATAAACATGCACGACATAAATCATATAGAAATAATGCAGTATAACACATAACATAAATATATATAGCATACAACTACTCTAGCACATAACTCTGGTTACCTACTCAAGGTAAAATATAGTGAGAAGACTCACCTCGCGTATCTCGGTAACTCATAAATCCCCGAAATCACTAGTGCTCGATCTCCCGAGCTATAGTCCTCCTATAACACAATACATCTCTAATTAACACTTTCCCAACTAAGGTTGACTAACCCTATCAAGTCAACATCGGTTAACTCTGGTCAATGGTCAACGGTCAACCCAACTCGCCGAGTATGGCGTGGAGTCGCTGAGTCTCTACGGGGACCGATTCCTCTGAGTCCCTTCCGACTCACCGAGTCACTCACCCAACTCGGTTACTCAACCCCTAGTTCGAAATCCCTGAACAACCCACACCAACTCGTCGAGTCTGCCAATGGACTCGGCGAGTGCATTCCATGCACAACCCCAAACGACCTTCTAAGGTCAGATCTGTTCCACTAACTCATAGATCCAGTCCTTCCAAGCTTATTTATCACGTAAAGTTCATGTCTTGGCACTCATATCACACCTAATGACTCATAAATGGTGTTTTGACCTCAAGCACAAAGATCGCAAACCAAAACCTCCATGGATTCATAAAAAGCTTAGACAAAGGGACACTCTGGACCTCCAAGGGTCCAGATCCAGAACCTAACTCGCTTAAGGGACCAAAGGAGCACTAGATCTAGCCACAAAAGGGCTCAATGTAACGCCCGTAGATTAGGGCTAGTCAATTTAGAGACGATAGGCGTCAAAAATGACTTTTTGATGGAAGATTATTTAGAAGAATTAATCTTAACCAAGTTTTAGTATATGTCGCAAGGTTTCCGTGCATATAAAGAACGCCGAAATCCGAGTTATAACGAAGAAGTTATGACCTGTCGAAGTTTCGCGACAGAACCGACATGACGCTGAATGACGTAAAAATTGAATTTATGTTAGAGCGATATTTAGCCTTAGTGATCTAAACAAAAGTTGTAGAGTTCGTTAAACCGGGAGCGTGCATAAAAAGAACGTCCAAATCTGACTTCGTATGAGGAAGTTATGATTTTTCTAAGTTTCGACTTGGCAGTATGCAACCCGAATACTCGATTTGAGATCGAGCGGTTTTTAGCCGAAACAATCTAAACAAGAATCGAAGATCTCGTTGTTAGTAGCGAAACGATGAAAAGTTAGGCGAGAACGGACGTCAGACGAAGAAGTTATGAATTTATAACGAAGTTTTTCTGTCCCGGCCTTCTAAAAATAAATAATAAAAATAAAAGTCAAAATTAGCCGACGGAATCTAAATGAAAGTTGTAGATCATAATCTCACCTACACGTGGATATAAAGAACGTCAACAACGGAGCTCGTATGCGAAAGTTATGAATTTTTGAAGATCGTGGCACACATACCAAAGCTTATCCGAAGATTACGCCCAGCGTACTCTATGTACGCCCAGCGTACTGATTACGCCCAGCGTAATCCTAGACCAAGCAGCCTATAAATAGAACTCGAATTCAGCCATTTCCTCTTGTTCAAACTCTTCCCTCTCTCTAAGTTTTACCTCGTTTTGCGTGCCGTTTATACCCCGAAGCCCCGGTAATATTCCCAAGCCCCGAAGCAAGATCCGAAGCCCCGAGGATCCCGAAGAGCGTTATTCTCGTGCCGAAGCGCTGCCCACGAGGAGCCCGGTTTTTGTGAAGATCTTCCAGATCTACGGAGAAACACTACTTCTGCAAGCTGTAGTGCTGCCCGATCATCTTCTGATCAAGGGAGTGTATAGTCACTTTCATCTTACACATAAATATGAAGTATTTATAAATACGTATTATGTGTATATATATATTGTTGTTTATATGTGTGAGTGTATAGTCACTTTCATCTTACACATAATTATTAAGTATTTAGTATAAAATACGTGTTATGTGTATAATATAAAGTTGTTTATATGTGTGAGTGTATAGTCACTTTCATCTTACACATAAATATGAAGTATTTATAAATACGTATTATGTGTGTGTGTATATATATATATATATATATATATATATATTGTTGTTTATATGTGTGAGTGTATAGTCACTTTCATCTTACACATAAATATTAAGTATTTAGTATAAAATACGTGTTATGTGTATATATATTGTGGTTTATATGTGTGAGTGTGTGGTTACTTTCTTCTAACGCATAATTATTAAGTATTTAGTATAAAATACATCTTATGTGTATAATATAAAGTTGTTTATATGTGTGAGTGTATAGTCACTTTCATCTTACACATAAATATTAAGTATTTAGTATAAAATACGTGTTATGCGTATATATATTGTGGTTTATATGTGTGAGTGTGTGGTTACTTCCTTCTAACGCAGAATTATTAAGTATTTAGTATAAAATACGTGTTATGTGTATAATATAAAGTTGTTTATATGTGTGAGTGTATAGTCACTTTCATCTTACACATAAATATGAAGTATTTTATAAAATACGTGTTATGTGTTGTTTATATGCGTGAGTGCATAGTACTTTCTTCTAATACATAAATATAAAGTATTAGCTATGAAACACGTGCTATGTGTTATATATTAATTATCTATTTGAGATGGATTT